GGGGGGGCGCCCCCCCGGCCCCCCGGGGCCCCCCCCCCCAGGGGGGGGGCGCTGGCTGCCGCCGACAGAAGCGCGGGTCCGCCTCCGCCGCCGCCCTTTGATCCCTGCCTGCGGGAAAGGGGAAAAGGACGGGCACGGAGCGGGGCAGCGCGGCGGGGTTTGGGCTGCAAGCGCCGGGCGGACGCAGGTAGTGCGGCACGCTGGGTCATAGAGCGGGCAGTCAGGCGTTGCTCGTCGCCGGGCGAAGAGGCCCGCTTTCCGGCTCCCTCTGGCTTTTCGGCGAAGGGAGGCCGGAATCGGACGCAGGCCCGCCGGGCAGAGGGCGGGGGCTACGCACGCGGTGCAGGATCTGCTGCGGAAAGTTTGCGGTCGGGATTGCAGCGCAATCTTAGCCGTATTTATGGTAGGGTCGCCTTCGAGTCGACCTGGACGCATGGTGACCACACAGACGCGTCCATGCAGTTTTCCTGGCGTGAGAGGGATGTGGTTTGTCACTGCCTTCTGCGAAGTTTTATCCACCCCCCACCTTATCCAAAAACAGGGGCGCTTGACCTCCGTGGCATTTATGCTTGGGTCCTTAATAAGCTCAAGGGATGAGAAAATTTAGGAATGCGGCTATGATTAATGAATTGGTCTGCCATCCGGGTAATACCAACGATGCTAGAAATGGTCTGTCATCCTGTGCGTGCGTTTGGTTAGGAGTATTCTGCTGGTTGTATTGTGTGAGACATCAACAACAAGTAAATTCAGTCGGCATAGTATTGTATTGATTTAAAGTATTTTAGACTGCTTTGACAGTTGTGTGAATACTTCTATACTGCTTTTAAAGTTCCATGCAATCACTGATATTTACATCTAGATAGAAACATGCTTGCAGTCCATAGCATAAAGTTACAAGCTGAAAACTCAATGGACTTGCTTCTACTGGGAGGCCTACTGCATACTCTTTTGATCTGTGATCATCTTGGCTTATTTGCAGTAACAAAAAAAGATTGATTAGGTGAAGTGGAGAGTTTGCCTTTCATGATGGATTGGTACCCCTAAGCTTAAAGGTGGTCCTTGTCTGCCCATTTCTGAAGAAGCCCTCTCTGGACCCAGGGATTACTACTGACCAATCATAATATCCCTGTTTTGGGTGAAGTGCTGGAGAAGGTAATGTTTGTGCACTTCAGATTTTCTTGGAGAACACTGATTTTGTTGATCCTTTCTGGTAAGGATTTAGGCCTGGTTTTAGGACAGAATGAGTGTTGGTCTTAGAGAGCAGCATGGGTCACTATGCTTGTACATTCTGTGGGTGCCATAAAGGATTGATTTCCCCCAGTGCTATTTAACGTATATATGGTGATCATCAGGAGTTTGGGAGTGAAATGTCATGTATATGCTGAAGACATGCAGATCTACTTTTCCATAACACCTAAATCAAGAGAGGACAGGCAAATTTAGAATCAGTATCTAGATTCTGTTATGGAGGTGGAATTCTCTCATGACAGTTCATGGGTGGATAGATGGTTTCCAGGTATGGGAACTGGGGAGTCTGACTTTTTTAATGGGGTTGTGGATAATGTAGTTTGGGATGTTCCTAGAATAGTAATTGATACTAGAGTGATCTTTTAAGGAGTACCTTCCAGAATCTCGTTACACTGACTATAGTCTTTCCTGCATATGGACAGCCTAACTGCTCTTGTTCACACTCTGGTAGCCTCGTGTTTAAATAAGTGGGGCATCTGGCTATGCACACATTGCATCTGTGTTGAAGCAACTGCACTGGCTACCAATTAACTACCAAACCAAGTTCATGATCTTGTGTTTGACACAGAGTGCCCTTGAAAACTTGGGAGCAGGATACCTAACAGTCTGCTTTTGCCATTATAGGGCAGAATGATTACTAAGATCATCAGAGGAGATCCTGTTGTGCATACAGTACCACAATTGACCAAGTGTTATTTTGGTGTTACTCATAGCTGGGTGTTTTTTTGTGGTGAAAGCCTTGGGATTCTTTTTTTTATCCATCTCCCACCTTTTTAATGAACGTGGATTGTACTGTTTTAGTTTATTATAATTTATTATTTAAATATTATTTGATTGTAATCTGCTTTAAAATACCTGCCCAAGAAAAAATATAGAAATATATTAAATAATGTTTAGGGTTGGCTTTCTTTCCTAAGAAAGTTTGAACTGTCAAAGCAGGATGTCACACTGCAGGGATATGCTTCATTTAAAAATCTAATCCCCTTGGAAAATAATAAAGATTTCACTGGCATCTTCATTCCCAAACCCGTATTTGGGAGTATGTTTCATCACAGTAGACTCAAATTAATCTTTATTACAGTCATAGACCAGCATAACAGTAGACTCATGGTTAGACAGACTAAAGTAATAGATTTCTCCCATTATTCTTCAATGCCTTGTTTATGAATAAAGTGTGTGTGTTTAGCATCAGGAGAGAGTAAGAAAGGGATAATTATTTGCTGATAATTTAATATAAGCTATTGAATTATTGTGAATGCAGTAGTACAGAGCTTTGGCTGATGATTTTGTGGGCATTGTAGATTTTCATGATCTCAATAGTATCTGCTGGCATTGTGTTGCCTAACCCAACAATAGGACAATCAAAGAATAGTAACTAGAAGTCCTTAACTACTTGGATTGTGAATTGTGGTAGATGACTTTTATGTTTGATTATAACCCAGTCCCTGACTTTTAAAAAATAATTCCCACAAGGCCAAATATTTGTGTTCAGAAATAAATTGAATTCAGTTAATCCAGGGCAACTTATTCTATAATAAGTTTCAGAATTTTGTGAGTCCCATACTTTCCTGCGTTTCTTGTTGCGTTATGATGCATAAGAAGTTGCATCACTCAACTCAGAAAACTTCTAACTTGCAGTGTCCTAACTATTTAATCCTTTCTTCCAGGGTATGCTATGACAGGTTGTAAATTGCTTCTTGGTGCTTTTAGACATCTAAATGTCTGGCTTGGACTCTTGGACAAATCTCCTCACAAACTTGGTTTTCCCTGGAGGACCTTTCTTTGTGCTGCAAGTCACCAGCCCATAACAGCAATTTTCCCCAAACGTTTCTCTGTTTCTCCCATTCAGCATCATGCATTTTTAATACCATGGTCAAAAAGTGTGACAGGGATTTCAGTACGACACAAAAGTAACAAAAGTTCACATAAAAATGTGAAACAAACTGTAGAAGAAGAGTTGGAGGAGGAACACACAAGTGAAGAAGAGATAATTGATTCGGAAGATGAGTTTGAAGATGATCCCAGCACAGTGAAGAATTACAAAGATCTTGAGAAAGTAGTACAATCTTTCCGATTCGATGTAATCTTGAAATCTGGTTTAGATATTGCAAGAAAGTAAGTCTAAAAGTTTAAAATAGCTTGTAAGTAAAGAGATTACAAGATATAGCCAGTGATATTTTATATTACATTATCTTTTAATATAGCTAAGAGCAAGCTATTTAATGGTTTCCCTCTCTTAGGAAGAAAATTAATATAAATTTTCTGTTTTTGCCAATTATAATATGTTCAGATAGTATTCTTCATCAGCCTTTCCCAATCTGGTGCTGGATTGCAACTGCATCTGGAGGGCATCAAGTTGGGGAAAGTCATTTAAAATTAATACTTTTGTAGCTTGTGGTTAAAATCCCTATGAAAATAGACTGATCAGTTAAATATTGTAAATTTGGCTGTAAAAAAAGAGAACTATTAGCATCAGCTGATAGTCATTAAAACAAACAAAATAACCCTTAATGAGACTGTAACCAACTTAATTTGCAGTCTGTTGCAAAGCTTCCAGGCACCATGATATGTACACAAGTTTTTTACTCAGATTTTGTCATTTGTTTTAGGGTTTGGTGTATTTAACATGCATAGCAAAAAGCTTTGATATGAATGAAGAGCAGAAAAATTAGGCATGCGTTATCAACTATTGTTATTCTACTTGCAGAGTGTACCAAAACAGATTTAAGTAGAAATTGTTCTTGTTCTTTTGGTCATGTGCCACCAGTGTCTGATTTACTACAAATGTTAAATTGATCACATGAAAAGGTTGGCATTTTGATCTTAAAGCTATTTGTTTAGAAGTATATTTAACTTGCTTGAATGACACATTTCTGAGAGTAGTTCAGAACTACATTTTATAACTAGGTTCTCTGAAAAATTCCTTTCAAGAAAACATGAATGAGCTTAATAGGATTTGCTTCACCAAAAGTATACATAGGATTGCAGCCTTGTTTAGTTTTAAGAAATGCAAAATTGATTTCTTTCTGTAAAAGCTCATTGTATCTATAAGTTCATACAGAGTGAATCAGTTGTGTTAGAGTGGAGAAATGCTAAAATGAAACCTTGTTACCATTTATGCTAATTGATATGATCTATCTATACATACTTGCAGTGGTAAAAAAAAAGGTTATTCTTGATTCTTACTTTTTGTAAAAAAAATAGTAGCAATACTAAATATAAAAAATAGGGTTCTTTTTGTTTTAAAGCAAAGTGGAAGATGCATTCTACAATGGTGAGCTTAGACTGAACGGAGAAAAACTGTGGAAGAAAAGCAGATCGGTAAGACTTTCTAGAAATTTATTGTATAACCTAACCAATTTGAGAAGTCATGGATACGACTTAATTCCATATCCATTACCTACTGAAGCAGGATCACAGCACTACATAAAAGACATTTTTTTTGCAGCATTGAGACCAAAGGTGTTTTTTTTTTGCCACCTGCTTATTTTTATTTTGAGAATTATTTACATTTCTATTAGCAGATTATTAAAATAGCATTTGCATGTTGTATTATGCAACCAATACCATGATTCAAAAACACTGAGCTGGTTCACATGTATCTCTTAACCATAATTTAATGTCAGATGAACAACTGGAGTAAGTTAATACAAAGTTTTGGGCATGCAACTGTCCCTGTTCATTCTTTCTCTGTAATTTATTTCATTTTCAGAGAATTCTGGCTTGTTACATTTGGTCATTGTGTTAAACTAGAATTCTATTCTATTAAATACTGCTTTATTGGTTTTTGCTTGGCTCATTCTGCAGACATCTGGATGGCAATGTTGATGGATTGCTTAACATTATGCGCGAACTGGAAACTCTGGCTTGTTTCTCTTTCAATCCTGTCCAAGTCATGGCTTGGTTTGTTCTTGATTAATAAACCAGCTTTTTTTTTTTGCATACTGTAGAAAAATCCAAAAGGGAATGCATTATTAGCATGCACCAACATTGTTTTTTTCCTTACTGAGCCAGAATTCTGGCTTACCATTAAATCTGAACACAGGTAGTATGGTTGAAGGCAGACTTTCATCAGATTCAAAGTGAGCCACTTTCAACCATGAGGTTGTTCAAGTAAACAGATTATATTTAAAACTACAATTTCTGGTTTGCCTTTGTGAAGAACTTGGGATTTTTTAAAGTAGAATTAAAGACTATCCATGATCATCTCCTGACTAATTAAAAATAAAGAGGATAAGGGAGAATGTGCGCCTTTATGATTTCACTTAAACTTATTTTGTCTTGTGCAGAGTACTATACCATAGCTTAGTGCTGTACAGGTAGGTCTTGATTAGTGTGTTTAATCAATCCTACGAAATGGTCACATTACTCAAACTCGCACTGTTTGAAGTATTCATATGGAAAATAGGGTAATTGGTTCCAGCTTGATGGGAATGGGCAATCAAAAATTTTAAACATAAATATTTATTAATGAAATACTGCATAACAGTAAAAGAGGATAACCCCATATCCAAAGTGTACCTGCTATCTCCTGTATTCTGCTATAGTTCTTAAAAATGAGCCTCTTCTTTTTTGAGATTTCCTTGAACGGAACTTTCCTTTTCTCCCTTTTGCACAAATGACAATTATATCAATTTATAAACCGCACTAAATCAAATTTCAAACTATTTGAACTCGCACTAATCACGACATACCTGTATTCAAAGTCTGCCAGTAGTAATAAATATTTTAAACAAGGCAAGTGAAGCCATTTAGAGCATGGCTTCTTGAATTTTTTCCAGTCATGTTATCAGCATTGGCCATAGGAGGTATCTATATTTTCTGAGTAACACAGTAGTGTGCTGCATCTATGTGCATCTGTACACTTTCTCCCTGACCTTCTTGAAAGAGGAGGACCTAGCTATGGGTCCCATGCTTTTATCACCACTTGGTTGGACTTCTGCAATGGGCTATACAAGGGGTTGCAGCCTTTAAAGACATCCTCCCATTTCAGTTGGTCCTGTTAACTGGTGCTTTGCTACATCACATTACACCTTACTTGCAGGCCCTGCATTAGTAACCATAGGTTTGTGGGTGCAGTTCAAAGTGCTAGTTTTGATGTATAAAGCCATATATGGCTTGGCACTAAGGTATCTTGAGTTGACCTAAGATTCTCCCAGGAGAAGCTGCTGGTGATGCCCCAGTTTTCTGAGTTGAGCAGGCTGGCACAAGTGAGACTGGCACTGATGACCTCCCAGAAGTTGGTGAAAACTTTTCCTTTGGGGAGTGATTGTTCATCACTGGTATTTTTTGCTTCTTCTGTCTATCATAATTGTTATTTTGGGGGAGGGGGATTGAAGCACCATTGTATTGTCTATTTTATTAGAGGTAATGGTTAATTTTTACCATAAACATTTTATTATGCTGTATGTTATTGTAAGCTGTCATAGATCTGGTGGGATTCAGCACATAGAAATTAAGTTAATAATAGCAACAACAATTTAATCATAGAACAATTTGATTCATATGGGGAAATTAAGTTAAGCTTAGTACATTACAATAGAGGTATGATGTTAGTTTCTTATAGTAAGAGCTCTATGTTCTTTTGAAGATCAATGAAGTAATTCAGGCAGTGGGGAAAGAGAAACTATTCAGTGCCACATCCTACCAACCTTACACTGCCATCCATTCTTCCCATGATCTGGGACTGTGTTGAGGAAATAGAAAGGCTTTTGATTTGACCCATCACCACCTTTTACAAGCAACGTAACAGAGACACATTATATTACTGTACATCATAATGAGCTTTGCTTGGTTCTGTGAACCCAGCTGTTGTGGCTTGTAAACCATGGTTTATGGCATCATGTCATGTGACTGCACTAGCATCTTTATTGTGGCATTGTTTCATAGACTAGAAATGTCTAATAGGTTTGAGTTCACAGCAGCTTTTTCCTACACACACACACATTCTTAAGGTACCACAGTATCCTTGAATCATGGAATTTATGCCACTATGTAGCAAAAAGGGACACCTATTAAGCAGTCATATTGGCAGCTTTCTTCTAAGCTCCAAAATGGTGGAAGTGAAAGCACTTGAATTACTATGTCAGGCAAGTTATTCAGACAATTGCTCAAGGAAAAAAACCATGGCTGTAATTTCTGTCTCCCCCCCCCCCCCTTTTTTTTCCCTCTCAGGTAAAGATTGGTGATACATTGGATCTCATTCTTGGAGAAGATAAAGAAACAGAAACAGCTGTAGTTATGCGAGTTGTTTTAAGGAAAGCATCTGACAAGAATGAGAGTGATAAATACAGAGTGGTGTTGAGGCGCTGGAAGAACTTAAAGGTGCCCAAGCAGGATGTACTGAAGTGAATAAGTAAACTGCATGTTATGACTGATTTCCTGTGAGCAATCACATTTGTTGTATAATATATACATTTTGGTTAAACAAAGTTCTTTTTTTAAAAAAAGGATATGAGATGGCATGCCACTTTCCTTACTGTAAACATCACTTCTGTTTGTTCCGTGACTCTCAAGTTTGCTGTTTTCATTTCAGCGGGAAAAAACAAAACACTGTTCCTATGAGAAATAATAAAAGGCAAGCCCAATCTTAAATTGTCTTGGCTGTTGCTTAACCACATGACCGAGAAACTCAAATGCTAATCTTAAGAAAAATAATTACTTTAAAAATATTTTTGTGCCTTGCAATATCGGTAGCTATTTACATCAAAAAAAGAAAAAAGAAACTATCTGGTAGATTAGTAACATATGTTTCCATTTCCAGGAATGAAAATTGAACGTAAGTGATTTCTGTTTGCTTTCCTTTTCTTCCTGAGGTGCCAGTGTTAAATACAGTGCTAAATCTGTTGGTCACTGTATTTTCACTTTTATCAAGCAGAGTTCCTTCAGTCATAAGACGGTTATAAAAATAGAGGGGGTACTATTACAGTTGAATCATGTATATCAGGAAAACAAGTGTGCAATTTGACTCAATAACACAATTAGAAAGTCACAGCCATGTATTTCTCACTTGAAACCCCACTGAAAGTATAAAGCTCTGAAATGGATGGAGTTACTCTGTTTACTTCGTGTGCAGAGCAGCTCTGCATATTCAATCTTCCGTGAACACGGTGATCTTATGGCAGCTCAGGTGTTCATTAGGATAGACATGAGGCCCTGAATCAAAGTTTATACGTCTGATTTTAATTTACCCAAGCTCACTGCTGTAAAGTACATTTCTTCTGTTTGGTGAAGGCAGCTTAAAAACCACCTTGCTTCCCTGTTCAGCTGACAGAAGACTTTGGCTGGATTTCATCCTTATTATGGTCCATTTATTAGAGATATGTAGGGATACATTATGTACATAAACTATGAGGGTGTAGCAACTAGCTAAGGAAATGCTAAAAAATTAAAGAGAAAATGTGAAAAGTAATGATCTTCATCAAAGCTTTTGTGAGCCAAAAAAGCATAATTAAAGTTTCCAAATTAGAGATAAGTATTATATATTACCCTGAAAGAAGTCTCTTATTTTTTTAATGCTATAATATTTGTCAATTAAAAACCTGTGTTGCCATATTAAAATGAAATTCTGTTAACACTAGCTTAATAAATTTCATACAAGAAATTGTGTAAATGCATTTTGTGTTCTCTTCAAGGATTTGCTGATCATAGGTGAGTGAGAATGTTGTTTTCAAAATGATACTGGACACAGAAGTAATTTTGTGTTGCAGTTTCACTGGTATACATTTTAGCAATAAGATAGCAAAAGCACATTTATTTTTATTGCAGTAATATGTGGGAGGGAAGGAATTACACGAAGACTGGAAATATAAACAACACTGGCAGGAAGAAAAGTAACAAAGTTAAGTATGGATGTATACAATATAGGAGTAATGCTTTGTTTGGAACTCAGAACACAAATACTGCATCCTGCATATTCTGCCACAGCTTTTCAGGTCTTCCATAGTTCAACCTGACATGAGATTTTTGTCATGCTGAGATGAGCAACAAAAACTCTTATTTCTAAATTGAGAATATAAAATTAATGCCTCTATATAAGCATGGATGTTTCAGTTCCGATTATATTTATTTGTTTAATATTATACAGCAGAAAGGATTCTCTTTCCTCTTTATTTTCTAAGAGTGGTACATTCAGCTAACAAATATACTATTAGGAAAGCTATTTGAGAGAAAGAGCTGAAATCACTGCTGGCCCTGAGGCCAGGAGAAAGTAGCGTGGTCTTACCACATCAATCTGAGCCAGGATTCTCAGGAGCCACTATAGAAGAAACCTTCATAAGGCAGCTGAGAAAGAGAAATAGAATATGCAGATCTGCACCATGATTTCTGTGAAGATTGTCACCTGTTCTACTAGAAGCCAGTGTGAATCTTAAAGCCAGCCCATGAAATTAAAAGTGGAAAGTTGGTAGAAAGTTAGGAAAGGAAATGTTCTAATCAGTCCAATTCTCTCCTCTCGATTCCAGATACCCCTTTATTTTTAATTCAGTAGGCCTTTTTATCCATTGATTTCAGAACAGAAAAAATACAATCAAAAACGTTTTTCTAAAGTGACGTGTGGTACGTATTAGGATCCAAGTAACACATTTTATAAAAACTGATAAATAGATGTTGCACATAGTAATTGTATCAATACCCCACTGACCACAACAAACTCTGGGTTGTACAGCAGTTTCAGTTAGAAGGCAAAAAGGTGCTTCAGAGTGTGCAGCTGGACAAAAATAGCCCTGCCTTTTACTGGAATCACATCCAGCTGCCCTCCTAAGCTGCTGCATGATCCTAGGAAAAGATACTTGTGGTTTAAGGAGTTGCAGGTGGGTGCTCTGGTATGTGCCCTGCGTGCCCTAAAGCACCTTTCTGCTTTCAAACTGAAAGCACTGGACAACCCTAACATGCTATTCTGATCCCTCAATTGCAAAGGCTGCGTGCAGAGTTCACAAGGTTTCAGTGAGTGAGACAACTTGTAGGCTTGTGGGAGTATATTGAAGCAGAAATTCCTCAGCAAATCACAAAAGGTGAAAAACTTACTATTTAAAATGTTACCAAATAAGAACAGCTATTTGTCAAATCCACTCACATTTACCATTCAGGTTTTGCACTCTAAAAATGATTGAAAAAGGCATTTTCTCAACAAAAGTTGAAATACTTTATAATCTCTTCCTTAACATGGACAAGACTTGTGTTGATATCTCCAAAGTTATTATCAAGACTAACACTTGTTATTTTCATGATGCTTTATAATGTCCAAGACACTGGAAATAATTAATAGTGTACAAGTAAAACAAACCCTTCATCTAAATATTCATTGTGCTAAATAAGTATTAAATTATAAAGAGAAAGGAAAACAGTTTATCTTGTTCTCTGCTCTATTTACGATGCAAGTACCTCTTTCATGCATAATCATGGATAGTATATTCTGCACTAAATATCCATTTTAAATCAATTGTTCAAAAATATTGTTTAATTGGATCCACAATAACGTTACCTTAATAACTTGCAAGTGGAATGAGTGTATCAAACTAGAAATGACAAAGTAAATGAAATCATCCTTAGCCTTGGACAAGCACTCTACTACACAGCATTCAAGTGTGCACACTGATCATCAGATATGCAATCTACACTATTCAAGGGAACAGCAAATCCACAGGCAAGGATCAGTTTCCTTCTCTAAACCAAATGCTGGAGAGCTTTATGGGCATTTCAGAAAAAAATTAGTGGGTTGGATCCAGAGAAAGTCTTGTTATAGCCTTGTAGAAATCAGTGCAACATGTTAGTCATGACTGATTTCGGTGGGATTGAAACACTGTTATCTTCCTTTGGATCTAATCCAATCCAGCACCTATAAGGAAACATCAGTTTAGGGAATATAGTTTTATTCTGTCATGAGAATCTCATGACTTGCAATGAAAGAAAAAAATAAAGCCCTGACACAATGTAGTACTCTTCAGAAAAACAAAAAACAAAAAGTTTAATGTTTACTGAACATGTTTTTCGTGGAAATATATAATCAATGATTTTGATCAACTGAACTTCAATGATTAAAGAAAAGTTAATCATTATGTGATAATCAAATTATTTCTGTGATAATGAAATTATTTGGGTGCCACTGTATTTGAAGATACTAATCAACATACAATAGAGAGAGTTCTCAGTATATAATTCAAATAAAAATATAGATAGTATATTTAATATTTTCAACAGTTTAAAAGCTGCAGTAATTTAACTGATAAAAATAATATGGACTTAAGTGATTTTGCACATTCCTCAATTCAAGTATTTTGTTTTTTGAAGTAGTGAGTATAACAGGTAATAGCACCACTTTTACTGATACAGGGTAGGATTCTATATTTCACAACCTCCACTCATACCAGTAGTTCTTGTATCAAGATTACACAGAAAACAATAAAATAACTTATATGAATAAAAACTGAAATATCAGTACTACAATCTTAACATAAACACTCATTAAATAACCCCATGATTATAATCATAATCTTTACATCAAATCAACTATAAAATGAAAAATTATTTTTAAAAAAGTATAACTTGATTTTGTAGTTTTTCCTTTCCTAATATTCAAACTTGATATAAGGAATATCTATAAGCATAGAAATTATTATGATTTTCCATTCTTTTTAAAGAGGTATAATATTTTAAAACTAGAGATTTGAAAGATTTAAAAACTGATTAATTTCCAAATGACTGATTAAAGATCCCTATTGAAAACTGTCTTAAAGAGGTTAATTACTATTTAAAATTAATTAAAATTAAACACTATGTAATCTATTTTCACTGATGAATATTATATTTAGATGATATATTATTGGATCAGCTCTAATAATTATAGTTCCTTGTGACCCAGTGTAGGTAGGTAGTAAGTGAAAAGACTGCAAGAAATCTAAGCTAGATAAAAACATACTAAAACGGAGTAATAAAATATCTTTTTCCGCAATATGCATTTGTTTCAGTAGGGTTTTTAAGAGATATTCTGGCTGGATTATAACTTTCTACTACTTCTCATCCATTCCTGTATATGTAAATACATACAAAAGAAAAGATGTACTGGTCAGTTGCCCTAGTGCTAAACCAATTGACCTCTCAAGTTGCTTCAAAATAACTGAAGTCACCATCTTTGGAAACTTAAAAGATCACTTTTTTGCTTTCTTGGCTTTTTTCAATATGTCACACTTTTTTCTATTTGGACGTCTGCATCTTTCATCAATGCTTGGTATACATTCATAATGCCATACTTCATCCATTTTTTCAACAGGATAAACAGCTTCAACATAATGGCGGATGAGTCTCAGTCTGACAGGATCAAGCTGCTTTTTGTTACAAGCCCCTGAATGGTTATATTGCAGTCTGAGGTTATCTGAAGTAAAAAGCTCTGGAAAAAGTCTTACTAAAAGTCTGGCAGCAAAGTTACCAACTGAAAGACTTTGTTGTACTATCTCTCTTACTTCTTTATCAGATAGCAAATATAGAGAAGGCACAGAAAAGTCTGGTGGAGGAACAATAAGTTCCTCAAGTGGTATCTTGCAAAAATCTTTGTTGCTTCTTTCTGGAGGCAATGGTGGTCCTTCAAACTCCT